TTGTTGATGTACATCAGGCCTGGACTGGAAGAGATTCTTGAGCAGAAGGTACAGAAACAAGTATAGCTGTATGCAATGATTCTCGGGGATGTGTGATGTCCTATAAAAAGGCTCATGTGGAAGGTTTTTGCCCCCACAGCACAGCAGACCTCAGTATATCTGCAGCAAATTGATTGTGTTTGTGTCTTGTTGCTGAGATTATTGGCTTTTGTATCTCAATTTGTGGTTTGTATTCCATTTTAATACCTTCCCACATTATCGGACAAGGTGTCATCATGAAGCCTTTGTTGCAATAGAACAGCTGTATTATTATTGCCATTATTATAAATGTAATTATTATATTCAAAAGGCATTTCAGTAGCCATCTTGGTTGTGAAAAAATGCTTTTGACAGCCAACGGGCGGCTGTCGACCACTGACAGCGGTTGCAGAAACTTCTGTAAGCAGAATCTATTGATGACATTACAAGTGTTTGTGGTTGTCAGTAAAGATTGGTAAAGGTTATTGATTATTTAAATCGCCCTTCAGAAGTAAGCTCCTTTTAAGCGAGCAGTGTGTAAAGATAGACAAACCATTTTCAATATATCGACTTTCCTTTGTGTGTGTGTGTGTGTGTGTGGATTTAAGGTAATCTTCATATTGAAGCTTTAGCTGTTCCGGTATACTGTAGTCTGGTTCTGGGTTCGTTTGTAAAGGTGGTCATGATCTGCGAGACTGTTGTTACACAATAAATGTGAATGTTTTTTTTTTTTTTTATGGGGTGCTCAAAGCATTGAAGAATCACATTTGGAAAAAAAAATACCTCAACATTTGACCTCACAGTGAACAGCTTTTAAAACGTTATCTTTTAGAAAATAGTTCCCAGTGAAGAGTGTGAGCTCTGTGGGTTATTCTTGGTGAGTTGGTCTTTTCCATTCACCCACTATTAGTGCGGTGGTGGTGGTGGTGGTTGTGGCGGTGGTTGTGGCGGCAGCAAAAGTCTATCAAAGTCAAACCTCAGCAAATAAAAAAGGAACTATCTGCATGTCTAGAGACCACCAGGGGTAGCGGTGAGACATCAGTTTGCACTCTGTTCTTTGTGACATGCTTGGCTGTCCAACCATGTCCGCATCTGACTCGTAATACCCATGAAACCCTGCATGTTGTTTTTGTTTTTCCTGTAGTTCTAGAAAATGTAGAAATGGTAAACCACTATAAACCATCGCGCATTGATCCACTATACCATTCGGCAGCTGTGGCCTTGATGCTTGAATGAACCCAAGGATTGTTCCCTTAATTAATTAATCTGTGAATTAGTTTTTTTCATTAATCACTTAGTTTAAAAAATGCCAAATGCCAATCACAATTTCAAAGAGATTCCGTGTACAATAGCGTCAAACAAGAAAAGAAAACCAGCATACATTTTGCATTTTTGCTTGGTAAATGATTAATGATCAAAATAGTTGTCCAGAGTTGTTCCACTAATCAGCACAAGTGACAGTATCTAGTCAATAAGAGGAGGTGCAATCAATCGATAAGAGATGCATCAGTGCATAAAGATAATCTTGGTGACCTTTCAATTAGATATAAATCACTGAGTCCAGTTCAGTATGACACAGTATCAACATCTGAGGAGTGAAGCTTAACCCTAGCATCAAAAAAAGTGTCCTGTGTCTTTTTTAAAGGAAAAACTTTTCATTAAGCAAATTTAACTAGTAACCTATGGACCATCTTCACTGCTGGAAGGCAGAACTTTCACTGTGCTCTGTGATGTTCCCCCTTTCTGCTTTAAAGACAAAATAATGGAGAGATTTCCACCCAGTGAAAGCTTTTTTCAGTCCGTGATAATGAATTAACAACAGATTAGCTATGGTTTCACCGAGAGCAGAGTGGTGTTGGGAGACTCGTGAAGTGCTGTAATATGTGCGCACTGCACGTGTGGATGGTAGTATGTTCTGTATTTAAAAATCCTGCTAATAATCCCCATTTTTACTAAATGTAACTGTAATTCTCTGATTTCAGTTTATCAAATGTGAGGATTTGCTGCTTTTCTGTCATACATGATAGTAAACTGAATATAGTTGGGGTTTTGGACTGGATTAAAAAAAAAGGAATATGAAGAAGCCACCTTGGGTTCTGGGTAATTTGTAATTATGTTTCACTGTTTTCTGACATTTCGTAGAGAAAAACATGAATCCCTTAATAGAGAAAATAATCTCCTGCTGAAAAACTTCGTTATCCCCCAGTGCAGATAATCTTTCTCAATGTGCAGTTTTCCTCCTGTTGAGCAAAGAAATTAAAGACTACAGGACTTTATGAACCTTTTACCAATGGGAAATGTATCCCATGCTATACTTATCCATTATTTTGACCGCATACTCTCACAGGTCACTGACAGCACTGTTCACTTTCACATGGATTCGCTGCTGGGCTTAAATGTCATTTCACTCCCGGCTGATGAGGCCAAATGCGGGCCATCGTATCTGAGATGAGAGCAGTGGAAGGGACGGAGAGTGGATCAATAACCTGAGGGAATTAATGTAGAAGTGGAGAAGCAGAAACTGGGTGTTGGAGAGAAGCAGGGATGGAGGTTAAGTGTGATGCATTCACTGACCTTTACTCCATTTGGGACCTCATTTGTAAAAAGGTATCTGGAGGCTGTCATGGTGTGTCAGCCCCCGTTCGGCTGCAGGGAACTCAACCAACACCAGCGTCACTGTTCTGCCAGCGGCGGAGCTACCGCAGGAGACAGTGACACCTACTTGGATGATCCAAACAGAAAACATCTTCACTGAAAACATGTGCTGCACAGCCATTTGTTTTACACGTCCAAACATTTCCAGCACAGCCCATTTGAGTGCCACCGCTCTGCTGTAAACACGGAGACGATGATTTAGGTTCGGACCCGGCGCACAGGCCCAGGCCCATCCATCCGTCCATCCATTCATCGTCCCCGCGCTGCAGTTGCTTACTTCTGGGAATGTTTGAGTCCTCGCAGCGGCCTTGTCTGCTTTCTGTGACAGCGGCTGATTCATTCCAGACGGTGTTTACTGTTGCAACTCTCCACAATGATTCTCGGAATTGTTTGCGAGCCAGACTCCCCTGCGCTTTTAGAACTCAAACCTTTAAATGGTGATAACGCTGTCTGCTTTCCTACAATCCTGAATATGAGTACCTAAGTTTGACGCATTCAGGCGTATGTTTTGACAGCGGAACAGCCGGTATTATTACAATGTCACATTTCAGGTGATGTAGCTATTGAACAGAGCATACTTCTCACTTAAAGCATGTTAAACTAAATGTGCACTTTTGGCATTTCCCCAAGAAGAAGTGTTTGGATAAGTCAAGTTTTAAGTTACAAGAACGGATCTGTTGACTAGATGGTGTCAGGAAGAGTTCTGATTTAAAATCGTTTTAAAAAACTCAGTAACATTAGAGCCATTACAGAACAATGTTTAATGATTCCCAACAAGAACAATTTATGGCTTGGAAGGTGCAAACAGAAACCTGCAATTCGAACCCTCTTACGGCTAATAAAATCCATTTCACGGAATCAACATTCTGTGGCACACTCATCAAAAAGCTCTATAAAGAGTGCATTAGAGGGCCATTCTGGTCAGTTTACATGTTCTTTACATGCATTAAGCTGATTGCAGACCCGTCTGTTGAGGCAATAGAGCAGCAGTCTTGTGTGTATATATGTTTGCGCGGCTTATCCGGCAGTGATATGACGGGCAGCCTTTTAACTCGATAAGAGGAGAGATCATAAAGGTAAAAAATGTACACTCGCTGCCAGCTGATTTTAAAAACAAAAAAAGTGATTTGAAGACTTCAGTGATTACTTTTTAAAGAAAAAACTGGGTCAGTCGCAGCTTAAATGAAGTTTTTTTTTATTTTTCTGTGTTCAAATTCATAATCTTAGATCCACAGACAAATCTCTCCACTGTTTGCAGGTCTGGATTAAAGTCGAATGATGATTGAGCGTTTGCAGTTGGGGGCTCTAAACGTAATTTACTCTTTGTGACTCGCTATACAAATAAAGTTTATGTGCTCGCCAGTAACCGCACAGCTGGCTTGTTCGTAAATCGGTGCCTACCTTCGCCTGTTACCTCTGCGTGTGAGGGCGTGCACGCTGGAGGCAGAGCCATCTGAAGCTTTATTTCCCCAGGCTCTCTTTGCTCCACTCGACACACATGGAGCTGATCAATACTGATGCATGCACTCCTCGAAGCTTTAGAAAAACAGCTGGGGGAGTCAGGACTAGGTGTATCTGTCCATGAAAATAAAGAATTACATACTCATGTTGGCCGTGCAGCAAACATGACTAATACATGTGTATATATATTTTGGGTTAAACGTGCTGCTAACCTTGGGTGACGTTTAGCATTTTGGGCTCTTGGCTATAATATTTTTGTTGAAAGTGACTCAGAATAAGAGCAGCAGGAGATTGAGCTTTAATTTCTGGATTAGAAACCAATATTGAGGCCTGTAAAGAGTCCAAGCCACAAGGCAGGAAAGTAAAATGGATGAAATATTCGTTTGACCTGAGAGAGTGACATTTCATCCAAGAAGTGATTTTCTCCTTCTTTCAGTAAAGAGCAAGTGGAAAGGGAAACAAAGTGATTCAGAGAGACGCTGGGATGTGAATTACTTTTCATAGATGCCTGCAAGGGGGGACTGGGGAGCAAGAGCAGTGCAGGAAGGTCAGTCCAACGTGGTGCAGCCTGAGGGGAGGAGAGTTCAAGAGTTGAGGCCGGGTGGAGCATCGACCCGATTGCTGCAGGGAGGAGAGAGATAATCGGTGAGCAGTAAGAGAGCAGATGAGGGGATTTCACAGACGTAACAGTTGCTTAGGAATGAACTAGTCGAACTCAAGAGAAAGCTGCTGGTGTGACCTGGGCAAATCTGTTCTGTCAACACAGGACGTAAAAGTGATGAAAAACAGAACATTACTTATTCATGCCATTTTTTTTTTTTTTTTTTTTAGAACAAATCGTTGAATTACACAGCACATCAGACAAATATATCCAACATTGTTTATTCAGAGGTTTTTTTTTTTTTTTTGTGGACTTGACAGATAAAGAGATGAGACTGGAGTACAGTTGAAATGCCTCTTTTTTTTTCATCCCAACAACAATCATAAATACGCCGACTGGCACAGTACTGAAATTCAGAGACAACGTCTTTTTTGTCTTGTCTGCAGGAGGTGTGGACAGTATTTAAAACCAAAGAGCACAACATTGTGAGCACTGAGGGGGGAAATAAAAGAGCTGCAGACGAACATTTAAAGAAAATGCTTGGGCTTCATTCAACAGTCTAAATGCCTTGTGTCAAGAGAGTGAATTACTGCCTGTTTTAGAAATTCATAAGTTAATTCAGAGAATACATTTCTTGCTGGTGATCAATATTTTGACTAAATTAATGAGCAAAAAATCCATGAAAATACTTTAATGCAAGACTTGGCCACAGTTATGCCAACTTTATTTTTTAAGGCTAATGTGTACAGACTTATAGCAGGTCTTTGGATATATTTACTACCGTGTTTTTCCTTTTTAGATTTAACAGCTTTTGTATAGGGCCGAACAACTAATGCAAGAGATGGAGCTTTAAGCACATTATATACATCATCAATTTAAGCTTATCACCTTAATATTATTAGTTTAGGCAGCTACAGTGCACAGCTGTCAACTAAAGCATTAACACAATGCTAACTTAGTTGTCCATTAGTTATAAATACTATGTAGAGCACAAATACAGGTTTGTAGAATTGCAATTTAAATCCCAATCGCAAGTTTGATCAGAAATTATTCGATATCTTCCTCAAACCGTTGAGCCCTACTTTTGTCCACATACAGTAGCTCGTGTAAAGATGGCAACATGTCATGGACTGATCATTTTGAAGCATCCTTTATCCAGCCAGTAGAAAGTTAGTAGAACTTTCCTATATGAGATCTGAAATAAAAGACAAATATAGACTGTTAAATGAATAGCAAGCAAGAGCACTATATAAGCAGCATGTGGGGAAAGGCATTTTCAAAGACTAAAACTCTTTTCTCACTTCCTACTTTATCAACTGATACAGTAGGTTTTAGTCAGCAGTAACGTGGCACAATTAATCACAGGGTAATTGTGGATGAAATACTACTTTGTCACCAGGAATGGTTATGAAGCTATTACTACCGTGAAGTTCACATCCTTCTCGACCATCTCACCAGACCTGAGTTTAAATTCTTACAAAGGGTTATCAAAGTGTTGTGACTCGCTTGATTTGTCTGGCAGACGGGAACCACTTGAGCCGTCCGAAATAAGTCGCACAGCGGTTCCCCAGACCAAATCTCATAACACTGCAAGTAGGTGAACTGCACTTTGCACTGAACAGTGACTGATGAAACATAGCAGAGCTCATGGGTACTGGACAGTGAGACACATCTTTAAACTATCGAACCTTGAACTGCACGATTAAAATGAAACTAGTCTTTGTTTTTGTGCATGTCCTCCCATTCACAGTTCCAGATCCAAACACATCACGTTGGTTTCCTGCGAGACTTATTCACTCATTTCTGCACAGAAAAATAACTGAACCAAATGATTACAAGTAATCAAGGGAATGAGTTTTCACACCAGCCAGAGCTGATTTCTCATTTGGGTGTTTTAAATAACAGAATTGGTTGGGAGCACACCTGGGGAGAAAAAAAACAACACTTTGAGCATAAAGTTGATTTGGATTTCATTCTTACAACATCCTAAAATGGGAGGACCATGCCCCAAAAATAAAGGTCTAACATATTCCCAAATCAAATTCTGAAATATGAAAATGTGTCAACGTCCAAACAGTTTTTTGAGTGAGTCGTAGTTCCTTCTCATGCAGTTGCTGGTTGTGATTTTTGCTGTTGTTTGCACCCCAAACAGTATGAATACATTCTATTATTAGTCTTTCTGTCTCGACACGCAGGAGCTCTCCGCCAGGAAAACACGGAGGTCACTTCTCTAGTGACAACCGTTATCAGATATCTACAGACAAATAAAACTTTTTGTTTTTCCACATACATGTTCATATATCTTTTATAAAATAAATCTTATATTTCCAAGTATACAATAATAAAATGATGCACTCTGCAGAAAAAAAGGTAACAGGAAACTCCATATATACACATAGTATCTCATACTATTTTGGCAGACAAGAACATGGACAAGTTCAGTATTGTAAACAGCTCTTTACTCTCATGACATTATTGTCCAATTTTTTTTCTTTACTTCTTCCATTATTTCCTCGCTCCCTCTGTCCTGTTACATTCATAACTCCAAAAAATTGTGCTTTAAGAAATCTCTTGCAACGATCCGAGGGCTCTTCTCTTTTTATTTGTCTCCTCGGGTAACACCCCGGTCTGCTGAGTAGAAGTGCAGTGTCTCTGAACAGTAGGTCAATGTCTTAAACGGTCACGTGGCTGGTAGTTCCCTCGGCTCTCCCAACTCACCCAGGAAATGAGAGACTGGGTCAGAGGAGTGAAGGGAGGGTGGCAAACTGATGCATTAGGACTGTAGATGGTTTTATGCTAGGGAAAATTAGGATTTATGTCTGTCACTGATAATCATCAGTGTTTCTACATAACATCCATTTCAGCATGTTCCCCAAAACTTCTCTGAAGTTCATGTGGTCTGAACTTTGGGCAGGATATGTGTCCCGGAGTAGTGGTGGAATTTTATTGATGATTACAAGGCAGACGTCTGAGAGGTTACAGCTGTGCTTGGGATACAGGAATGTACACGATGGAATGTGGAAAAATACTGGTGTGTGTGTGTGTAGAGCTGTGATGCCAGGATAAAGACACAAAGAGCTTTGGGTTTTGAGCTCAGTAGGCAGGAACAGAGTAGAGGTCTAAATGTGGGTGCCAGGAGAGCACCAGAGCAGGACTGCAGGTCTTCAGTTTTCCTCATCTGTTAGCTCTTCCTCTGCTGTGGCCTTCTCGGGAATGGCCTCGAGGCTGCGTCTGCTCTTGGACTCGGAGCCGGAAGAGTCGCCTCCCGGTCTGCCTTTACTCAGGTTACAGGTGAGCGCAGCATAGTGGATCTGCTTGAGGTTCTCCTGGACTTCACTCCTGGCGTGCTTCAGTAGGTCTGCCTGACCCTGAGGGGGCAATGACAGATCAAAGTGTTAGAATAATCACAGCAGCGTAGCAGTACATGAGACATGAAGGCAAGCTGTGAAGAAATTGGGTTAAGCCGCTGTCAGACATCAGCACCTTAACATGTAGATGTGATGGCAGTTACAGCTCTGTCCCATGTCTGTATAATCACCTGAATAACTTTTACGTAAAAGTCACGGCAGTCTCATTTGATCAGGGCAAGTAACATTTCCAGCAAGTCTGAATTAAATGGCATCACATTAATGTAAAGGCCACAGCAGCACAAGGTTAAATACACAGAGGAACTAAACACACATCTTAAGCTCTGTAATAAATGATCATTTAAATATCATTATCATCTTCTATGTACAAAGAAAGCAAAATCAATTGATTAAGGAACAAACACCCTAAATAATCCAATTCTAAGTTGACGAAGATATTCTTTTCTTTCTTTTCTTGTCTGAGGGGAAATATCATTTTTATAGAGTCCAGAGCAAAAGTGGTAAAAAGAGAAATAATGTAACTCCCAGTGTCTTTTCATTCTATGTGTGTGCACTGTTCAGCATTAAACAGGCAGCAAAATTTAGCAATTTAAAATTGATGAGAATATATTAGGAGACTGTTGGAGGAGCCTCCCTTGAACTGACAATGGTCATTAATTAAGGCAAAATAAGTTTTAATAATCATCACTGATGCGTCTATATCATTTTTTTTCCAGCTCAGCAGTTCCCCTCCGTCTCTCACACCAGATGCCGTTTATCCACTGTTGTCATTAAAGGTCCTATCGTGTCTGTATAAAGCCCTGAGGAACCTTTACACAATGGACGCCCGTGTCTGAATGGCAAGACGTCATCACTGTCATGGCTCGATAAAGCAGGCGACGTTGGGTACTCCATGTTTGAAAAGAGCTTCAACTGCCAGTTCAAAGCTTTGCTGGATAGTAGCCATTATTCAGTCTTCAAGACCTTGAGTTGATAGCTTGGTGTACTTGTAATTATCAAAAAAACTCTCAAGTCTGTTAAGTGGTAAGACTGCCAACAATAAGATCTTTATACGTAAGAAGAGCCTCAGATTACACATGGACAGACGGCACACGCAGTGAATTACACACACATGCCTGACTCAACCCAACTGCCTGGGGACAAAGTATAAATTATAGCTGAGCTGCTTGTGAGGTAATCTTAATTAACACATGCAAACACAAATAAATATGCAGAAGGTAATTATTAATGAATGACCTTCTTGGCAATGGAGGTTGATAAAATACATGAGGTGCACACTATGTAGACTAGTGACTCCCAAACATTCCTACTAGACATAATATTGCCTCCTAATGTGTGAATTTGATTACTTTATATCAGATTTTTTGCCACATGAGAAATATTAGAACAATATCGTTACTAATATTGTATATAGTATATAATACAATGGATTTGAGCCATAGAAATAGGTTTACAAATGATCAGGGAGGCAGGACACACATTACCACAGTCTGTGGACATTTTCAGTATTGAGGGGAAAAAAAGCAACTTGCTTGAAAAGTACTTTTTACAAGTAAATTTGTACAAGACACTCATCCTCACATTTCTAAATAAACCTAACTAAAACCACACAGTGATAGACACATGAAGTTCCCAGAGAGAAATGGCAACTAGTAGCATTTATCTTGCAGGTATTTGCTTATTATCTGTGTGTCTGTCCCGGAACATCAGTGGATCACAGGAATAGCACAAAAGCCCCTTCATAATAATATTATAATAATATCAGAGACCTGCTAGCTTGTTTCAAAACCTCTGAATCATTGGTCACATCTAAGATTTGTTCAGCGATTCAAATAGGTCTAAAACTGAGCCCGCTCGACCAATCATAGCCTTGTAGGCAGGATTAAGAGTGTCAACATTATCTTTCTGCATAGCTCGCAAGCTGCCATGCTAGATTTATGAAAATGGCAACAAGCATGGATGAGATTTATGGAGCTGCAGAATTTACAGAAAAAAACAACTCTAAAATCAGCATTTCTTTAATCAATGTAAATACACTGAAATAAAACAAACTGCTAGCAACCACCACTGTGACTTCCATATTGACTGACAATGTTGTCAGAAGGACCAATAAGTCACTCAGTATTGATTGGTTGATGCTAAACAACACAGAATAAATCCCTTTCTTAGTAAGGAATCAGCTAACATGAATACACGAATGTCACCCTGGACCAACAGAAAGGCAATTCAGTCAGTCAGATAATCAGGGTGGTTTGCTGGAAATTTATACAGGCGAAACCTCACTCATAGGAAACTGTTTGAAGACATGAAAAAGCAACATTTACCAGCCACAACGGATCACTGAAAGGGACTTCACATCCCATAAGCCCCCTGACTTTGTTTTCATGCCCCTGTGTGTGCACTTCCCATGACAACTGCGCCTGGAAACTGGTCTACTGCTCAGCCCTAACAGTCATATAATTTGATTAATGCAAAGACACATTTCAAATAACAGTGTGCAATGTGGCAACTGCACGCTACTCAAACAGAAAAATACAGAAAACTTGTGTATTACATGTTGGAGTGACACAGTAGTCACTGGCGTACTGCCGGCTGTGGATGAAAATCTCACCTTCAGTATGGTGATGTTCCACGTGAAGCTCTCAACCGCCTTGTGCAGTTTCCTGCCCTTCAACCCTTCCTTCACAGCCAAGTCATGGAGGTTCTCGTGAAATTCCATCGCTGAAAGAGGGGGAGAGAGAGAGAGAGAGAGACAGATGAGAGAGCGTGTCTAGCTGGTCTTTATGGTTGGAATTCATGCTCGTTTGTGAGACAGAAGAGCAGTTGTGAGGTGACTGGAGTCTGGAAGATGTGACTGGGTGCTAAGCCTGTTGTCACTGTGAGGAAGCACATTAGAGCGAAGACACTGGCATGTACTGTCAACATTTCACAGTCTCCTCCTGCAGCAGACGGATTGAGTATGTGGAAGAGATTCTCGGGCTGTGGAGGAGGATTCCTCTCTCCTTACTGTATGTCTGCAGTATGATAACAGCTAGCACTGACAGATTGCTGCTGTTGAAGGTGTACAGCATGTCAGGTCTGAAAAAAGTAGACATCAGGTTCGAATTTCTGTACAAATTAAGGAGACAACCTGAGGACTGGATTTGAGACATGAAGAAGTGAAACTGTACAAGCATCTGTCATCACAATGTTAATATTTCTCACTATTTTCTGAAGAGCAGATCTAACGAAGGAAAAAAAAATCCCATTATGGTAGAGGAAGTGAATGGATTTCTATTCAGCAAGTATCACTTATTTGCAAGCTGACAAAGGAAGATGCATCCTGTTTCTCTTGGGTGTGTATTTGTTTTAACAGTCCACACGCAGTGTTAGCATTAATTTGCAATGTGTTGTCCACATCAACCGGGAGCAGTTTGTGCCATCCCTTCAGCGATGCCTTGCTTCAGAATCTGAAATCTGAAATCTATATCCTGGAGTAAAATGTTAGTAAGTACAGGGTAAAGCACAGTGACACATCCCAATGAGGTGTTGATGGGATGTCGAAGCATGGGAGTAAGCAAAAACTGGTGAATTGGTACAAAAGAGACAGAGAGAGCAAGAGAGAAAGCAAAAAAGGCAAGATAACTTAAAGCCAGAGAAGAAAAGAAAAAGTGGAGTTGAAGGAAGCAGTGAGGCAGGATGGGAGGGAAAAGAAAGAGCCCCGGAAACGGAGAGAAAAGCAGAGGAGAGATGCAGTGTAGGCAGACAGACATGACGTTCTTTCACTGTGGATTAGCATCAACGCATCAAACAGAGGAGGGATTTGTCTCCTGAGGAGCTTTCCCACCTCCTCTCTCCCTCTCTTTTTTTCCCCTTTGCATGACTGAATCTGAGTAAGGACATGTTTAATGTTGAGCTTGCTTTATAGTGTAGCACTGACACTGCAGCAACAGGCAACCGCAGCCTGTGAGGTAAATAAACCAAAAGGGAGCAGAGTTCCCAGTATGCACAAAGCCCAGAACTGCGTAACACACACACACACACACACTGGAAAGTACTACCGAGAATGCACACATTTCCGCTTGAAGCCCCGAGATCAGCTAGAGTCGGTCCTGGCCCCTGTTGGTGCTGTTGCCATGGAAACATGGTGTGCACGCGAGAGAGAGACCCCCTTCGTGTGAAATCGCCATAATAGGTGTGGGGTTGGGCTGTTTTCGAGCCTCTCAGCTGAGGCTACAAGTCTGCCACCAGATCTCAGGCGTGAATATGACCTCAAACAACAGACAGAATTTACTGGCACATCTGACACATTTATCATCTTTGAACCTAACACCACACCACTGCTCCTAAATCACACATTTCCTGTGTTGTAACAGACATGTCAAATTATTTCTTCATTTTCAGGTCACTATGCCTGTAACTACAGAGCTGCTGCTGCTGCTGCTGTGGCACGTGGACCATGACTATGCTGAAGAAGGTGCACAGCTTCTTCTATCTCTCACACATGCACACACATACACACACTGGAGGTTGCCTAGCAACATTTTATGGAGTCTGGCAGGAAAGAAAGGGGGAAGCTCATTCTCAGCAATGCATTTCAGACTCTGATCTCTGTGAGGTAATGCTGCAAGACGGCAACTGTACAACAAAGACGGATGCTTGTGCATCTCACAGCAACAAACAAATACAGTATGGACCAGCATGACCTGAATTATTCATTGGATTGATTACTGATGAATCTTTTAACAAGAGATGATTCCATCTACTTATATCATAGAATGCCTTTATCTATATAATTAACTTTATCAGACAGAATACTGAAGAAATGCTGGGATCCATGACTGATTAATAACAATGACAACACAACAGCTACATTTTATCAGTTGTTTTCATAGTCAATTAATCGGCTGGCTATTTTCTTGATGAAGTAATCATCTAGTCTATGAAATGTCAAACAAATGTTTACGCTCACATTTTTCAGAGGCCAAGGTACATTTTCAGATTACTTGTCTTTGTCAAAAACATTTTCTATCATACATGGCACTGAAAAGCAGGGTATCCTGGCATTTGAGAAGCTGAAACCAGCAAATGTTTGGCATCTTTGGTTGAAAACTCAAACAGTTATTTGGTGATAAATTGTTCTATCATCAAGCTCTAATATTAACTAATGTATGGAACCTTCATGTGGAGATGAAGCATTCTGCAAAATGTCACTGCAGCAGCACTCTGCACACCATCGTTTATCACATGTATGTAGGATGGGTCAAATGCAGAGGACAAATTTTGTTTCTTGTATGTAAAATGCTGCAAATGCTGTGAAATGACAAAGACTGATTATTAAAAGTGTTTAATAAAAACCCAGATCAAATGTTTAATATTAAGAAAATAACCTCAGAACACGACAAACAAAGTATAGTAATGCACTGCCCTATATACTGAATGATCTTGGGGAATCCACATTTTAAAAAGGTTTTTTAACTTGTGTAACACAAACATCAGCTCTTTGCTTTGTGTTCTGCAAAATGTCACTGCAGCGCCACTCTGCGCACCATAATTTTTCACTTGGCATTTAAGAACATCTTCTGCACTGATCTTGTTAGTCTGCAGCAGGTTCAGCCATCCAGATGCCCTGAATGCTAATTGGAACCTAAGTGAGTGTCGGGTGAGGGAAGTGACATCCATGTTTGAGCTGCAAACACCTGACTGTGTTCTTTGACTCTGCCTTTGTGAGGAAAGTGGCCCCTGTCTGAGCTGATGTGATGGATTATTCACAACTTTAATAGCTGTTGCTGCTGGAACGTTCCGCTTGCAGTAAAGGGGGAATTGGGTTTGTACTGACCCAGTTTCTGTACAACAGACGAGTGCTTTAAACCACACCACATGCACACACTGAAATACAAACATGTACATGAGCGCAGACACACACATACACACACATACCGCTGGGATAAAATTATGTTTCGTTCAGGATGGAAAATAAGTCAATGTTCAAGATCATCAGTTTGCCATCTGTTGTGTCCTAGTTTGCAATTGTTAGCTGTTGAGTTTTCTCCAGCTGATTTTAGATAATCATATATAATGGTGCTTTTAGACCAAAAGCCCCACAAAGCTTCTGTGGAAGCCTTTGAAAAAAAGGTTTGGACTACTTGAGCCTTTTCATGGCTGTGTTATTCGTTTGACTATTGTTTCACATAAACGAATGATTCATTCTGACAAGGCGTTTATCAATAAGGGCTTAGAACTCACTGAGCAGCACAAAGGATAGTTACATCAGATCCTGTTGGGTTTCCAAATGCACAACTCATGAAATGGAGTGTCATCTTCCCTCAAACAGAACCCTCCTGATAATGAAACGCCATTTTGTAAAAATGAGTAAGTAATGAAGTAGAACAAGATATAATAATTTCTGGCAGACCTTTCCTTCAGGCTTACCAACTTGAATTATTTTTAAAAAGTAATTTAGTCCCACAGAAGATGAGCAACAGGTCGAACTCAGGGAGCACAACCGTTGATAATGTGCGTGTGTAATATTAATGTGCTGAGCCAACACATTTGCACACTGTACATATCGTAAATAATTTCTAATACTGTAGCTCTGTAAACTGCAAGAAAAACAGCAGGGAGTATAGATAAAGAAAAGTGCTGACAAAGGCTGTGCAGACGAACAGGGCAATTCTGATTAAAGAAGGCAGATGCAACTCACTCATTTAATACAGTAGCCATTTTAAATTGCTCATGCTACAGCCAAATCTGAACCAAATAGAAAATGTCCAAAACAAAATTCCCAGCTGCACAGATGTGAGCAGAGGCTTTAGGGGATCTTTGATACCAATAGGCTCAAGCACATCTTTATCCCAAAGCCACTGGCTGGTAAATGTTAAGGGATGGAAGGTGGTCAAACTGAAAACACCATGGGAAAAAACTGCATGAAGCCTTTGATCTGCTTTCATTAAAAGACACAGTCCTTCTCTCTGATGTGCCAAGACAATAGAAATTTAATATTTTATAAGTCATCCATCTGGAAACCAATAAAGCAGAGCCGTGGTAATGATGGTCCATCTTTCCTCCCTTCCACACTCAGGCTTACTCAGTCATAAATTAGCCTTCTATGCTACTTAGATGGGATTCAGTGCCAGAAAATGCTGCATTATAAAGCACATTAATGTCAATATTGAATTTCTTTCTCATTAACAAGTTTTAGCCATTCGTCTGCATTGAATGCACCATTTGTTACATTAAACAAGAATTGTCGCAGAATAAAGACTGACCTCTGAAAGTAACAGGAGCATAGATAAAACGCACCAGGCGAAGCGAGCTGTCCATCCTTTGACGGCATCCTTCGCCAATATTTTCCCTCGAGACTGCCTGTCCAGTCTGCATATCCCTGAATCTAGCAGAGCCTTCACTGATGAGCTGCCAATCAAACCCTTCTTCCCAGAAATGCTGAATGGAGTTACTTTACCCCTGGCCACATTAAGTCGTGATCTTACAATAGGCTAGAAAGCAATAAACAAAAACATTAAGTGCACATATGAGAGCCTAACTAGTATGGAGTGTCTGGTAGCAAAGACCTATAGATGGACTCCCATCTGTTAGCTTTGATGTTGTCTTGCTCCAGTTCACTCATCTCTCTGAACCTTTAACCGAACCATTCTGATTAGAATACAGCACAGTGGCTGTTACTGGTGTGAATTAAACACCTCATTATGAACCACAGCTTTTCAAAGGGAAATTGTGACTGGATCACATACTTGAACGCGATTCAAATGGTAATTCCACTTAAATAATATAAGCAAAGCAAATCAGTTCTACCGAATTTCAGTGTTGGTTTTTTTCTGTATTGTGTGGTTTCAGGGAGATGGTGGGGCCTCGGGCAACCATTCAGGAGCTGTCTAGTGGAGTTGGGATCGCTGTCATTTTATGGTTATTTCCTTTCACCATCTGACCATTTCTTACCTGATTTTTGGGTTTGTAGAATTCTCTCATACACTCCTTCAGAGTTCTCTAGCAGAGTCTTGCTGGTCTGGATTACCTGAAAGGAGACAAACATATTGCTCATATTTGCCTTTATTTTCCACATCAGCAAAACTGGCATGCCACAATAAAGCAGGGAGCAGTCTCCGTCTGGTGGCCGGGTGTTTCTATCCGGGGAGGGCTCAGAAAAACAAGCTGTTATTACAGGCACGCTGGTGGGTGTGGTCGCTGAATTGCATTTTTGAAAGCCAAAATTAGAGGGAAGGAGACACAAGCAATTAGGGTGTTTATTAAAAGTTACATTTTTTTTCTTCAAATAGGAACAGTGTCTTGTCTTCAGCACAAAAATATAACTGTCAATCCTGATACTTGGTTTTGAAAAGCCTCTCTTTAAAAGAAAAGACAAATAATGAAGGTAATTCGATTATGATGGGAGTAAAACGTAAACATGTGAGTCATTTTGAAGCACACCACTACCGTGTTATCTGTGAAATTGCAGCTGTGAAAGATGCTAAGTTTAGCTCCTGTGGTGTTATGCTCAGCCTTAATTGAGTGCACAAACTCTGCTGACCTGCAGACTGTTAAAACTCTCATGGTGGCCATTAAGGCAGACTCAAAGACTTTGGGAAATCCATTTACATATTAAATGCCAACACTCCTCCTAAAAAAAACCTTTAGGTTCTTTACACAAGGACAACGGCACAGTGGTGTTTCATGAGGTTAATGATGCATATGTAGCCTGTCAAAAAAAGAGGTAAATAAGCACTTCAGTGAACAGAGAGCCTGACAGACCATCTGGATCTTTCTCTCTGATTATCTTAGTAATAGCTTAATTGTTGTAATGTGAAAGAGATGGTATATATAGCCAAATGTTGCTCTGCTTTTGATTTCAATTAGTGCCAGTTGGGTACTGGGACCTTTGTGTATGCAGAATTGTTATAATTGACTTGTACATTTTCTTGTACACTCCCTAAGTGACTTAAGTGCACCGCAAGGTCATGTCACAAAGCCAGGCCACCCTGCTCAGCTGCCAAGACAGAAGGGAAGGGAAGAAAAACACAATTTTATTCAAGCTCAGTGTAACAAAGCCACTCTGTGAAAAAGAGCAGTGACCAACATGAGCCCCTGAGATCGATCTCTGGAGTGTGCCAGCTCTGTGGCCAGCTAGAGGGGGTGGGGGTGGGGGTGGTTGTCAGGAACAGCATGGAGGGAAAATGTGAAAAGTGGAAACTTCTTTCAGGAAAACAGGTGAACCAAGATTTTAATTAGTAATAACCTCATAATTTAGTTATCCTGCTGCTGGAAATCCTCACAAGAGCCACACTAATCGTGTATTAATGCCCAACACATGCACTAGTTCTTCCCATCTGAGTAACTGGACAGTAAAATGTACAGTACACAGAAATTACTGAGCCTTTTTGAAAACTACTGTATTACTACTACTGTAGTGTGACACATTTCATAAGTCACTAATAGGAACTAATAGGCTAATTGGCAGTGGAGCGCCACAGACTGTCAGGAAGTCACAAAGTACTGAGAGTCAGGTTTGAATCCTTTCATTAGATTTGTTGACAGTATGAGAAATATAGAATAACACCACTCTTTTTTTTTTCTTTCTTATTCCACAAGTCCTACTGTATAATCAAGATATTATTAACTGCACAAGTTTCAGACATCTCAGTTGTGAGAGAATTGGTGAGGGCATGCCAAAGTTCGGGGGTTTCTAAAGACATATATAAACATGCAGCCTTCTTTTTTAGCATGATTGTCCATCCCCTAATATTGTGTACCATATGGGGCACAGATACAGTCTCACAAACCCATGCAGTGAATCACCATGTTCTGCTACAAGCAGTCATGACTAAGTGATTGTGGCTGTTTGTCACTCCGCAGCTGCAGTTGCGGCACTTAGAGCTGTCGCACACGCTGTGATTACTTCCCTGATGGGAGGAGAAATTACCGTCTTGGTGGCAGACGCAGCATCTCGAATGTATTTCAAGGCACAATCTAAAGGTAAGTGGGTGGACTTTGCCCCATTTGCACACTGAAGACTACCCCTTGTAAGTGGTATGTTTAGTTGTATTATCATTACCCACATTTAACAAAAGACGCAAATGCTCATTTATTTTTAAGGTGATGTTTGCTTAGCAACCGTGTAACTAGTATAACAGGAATACAATTTTAAAACAGACTTTATTTATAATGACGCTTAATGAGCTACTGGTGATACAGAGATATTATGATTATTAATAATGATACATAAAAATAATATTTACATGATATATTTTAGTGCTAAAGAAATAATACATTTGTGTGACAAACAAAACAATGACTAACATATGAGCTTTGTATTTTCTTGGTTCAATGTTTCAGACACTCTCTATCTCTAACTCATCTCTATTTACAGGCAGTGCCCTTAGTTAATCTGTTGTGTACAAAAACAGAAATGAGACCATATTATCTAAGACCACAAACTGGCATCATGCTGAGTCTCTCCACCTTTTTCTCAGCGCACAAATGGGCAGGGTTTGAGACCCAGATTCTATTTTTGCCAATTAGGAAGCGAAAGCCGGGTTACTCCCAGTGGTGGATTTTGACACAGTGCTGGAATTTCTAATTGTACAGTTTCATACATTATTTACAACTCTTTAGGTTTGGCTCTCCTCGTTTCATTGATGCCTCTGTACTTGTCAGCTCCCCTTCAGCAGTGCACCTTCCTGCTCCCCATCTCCTCTGGCACTCTGCTGATGATCAAGGCCTTCAGCCTCAAACCACTTAAGCCCTTACTCTTAATTTATTCGATTCTGGTCCCCAAACACCCATCAATTTTTTCTTTCTTCCATCCAACACAATTTTCCTGGCACTCTTTCCATCAGGGCCAATTAACTAGCCCTCCACTCCTGAGTTGGAATGGAACAGAGGGGTCACCTTAATCGGTTTGCGTCTTTCCAGCATCATCCCCTTCTTCATCTTTGAGTCCCAAGGGATGAAATGTGCCATAAAAATAACCAAGTTGGATACCGTTAAACACTTAATGGTGTTGTTGTTTCCTGTCACACTGTTTCTCCATGCACTGTCTCCAAAACAAGTTAAATTACATGTGAAAAATGTGTGTCACACAGGTGTGCAAACCCCTCGTCATTGTGTTAAATATAACTCAGAGAGTATATTACAAATGTATCAAACAACATAGTTAATATGCTGCTACCAACACCAAGAGTGCCCTCACCAATTTGTTTTTGCCTAACAGTGTGTTCTTCCTCTATGCATACTTTAAATATGCGACACCAAAAACAGCTGGGCTCAGACACTGATGCTAAACACCAAATCTTACAGGCTTGAATAAATATTCTGGAGACATAATGCTACAGCCAAAAGGACGGAGATAAATCTGATAGAACAAACTCTAATTACTGGATACAAAATTATTCAAAGTAGTTCACTTGTTGCTCTACTTCTGCCAGTAGAGTTTTGCAGGGGATTTCTGCCTCCTGCCAGACATAATGGAAAGTCAACTTGCTCATAATGTGCCAAGAATCAATATAAGAGAACAGGATGTGTTAAGGATAATGGTGTTGTCTGGAAATAGCCTCAATGGCATGTTGCATAACTTGTGAATATTGATTTTATTACTTAACAGAGCTGCAGCCCCCATTACCTAACCATATCTGACCAAATTAAGTCATGTAAAGCCAAGGTATTGATTAGATTGGAGTCAAACCTAGTTTGCTTGGTTTGGTTTTCTTTTTCTTTTTGATGGATGGTTACATAGATGGTTAGATAGCACTAGTGCCAAATCCCCCTAAACTACAGTTTGTATGTTGAGAAAGTGTTTTTGAACCATGACACAATAAAGAAAAGAAAAGCAAATTTACCTCAAATTATCTTGATTAAATCAAGTCTGCTGATTTATATCTCAGTATCTTTTGTATTCATTGAGGTTTGTAGACTTTAATATAAAATCCCCCTTTCATATTTCAGCTGCACACATCAGTAAATTGTGTCCCTTGTGTTTTTAAGTATGGTAATTTATCTGATTCATCTGCGTGTATCCCTTTCACTTCCAGGTGTTATTGCAGTGCAGATAAAGTGAACCACTACTGACTACAACTCACCATGTCATAGGTGGTTACGACTTTCTTCAGGACTTCTGGTAGCAGGCCTTGGGGCTCCAAGTTAGGGTACTGGTCAACAAGGTTGAACAACAGAAGGGGGCTGTTGTCAGTTCCAGTCAGTCGAGGGGAAAGGGCCAAGATGCACTGCTTCAGGTTAGCCACTGCTGAAAGGCCACACAGCTCTTTAAAGGACACAATGGCATTCTGCAGAGAGAGGAGAGAAATTACAGCAGGGCTTTCATGCAGTCATACTGGCATGCCAAGCAAAACATGTGTCTAATGGCATAAAAGTATGAAAAGAAAAGAATGTATTCCATGTTGCTAAACTCTGGCATTGATCCACATTAAATATATGACCACAACCGCACAGAGTGGCACCCTGTAAGAGGAAGTGGCTGGAAGCTTTCTCATTACCTGTGAGAACTTTTTATTTTGGCACTTGTTAGCTACTCATAAACACTCAATTCTTTTGGACTGACACCAGTATCACATGGAAATTAAACAAGCACACACACACACACACACACACACACACACACAGAAATCCCAACCTTCCTGTGAAAGGCCAAATTTAAACCCTACAAAAACAACCGGAGGACAAACTATGACAGGATGGCTAAGACGTGTTATAGTTTCAAGGCCAGTGGCTTGTTATCACACAATGACTGCAATATAAACAGGGCTACCAAAATAAATCCTAATACAATGCCTGAAGAAACACAACATGAGACCAACCACAACGCAGTTCTCAAAATGTCATCTTTCTTTACAGAGACTTCAAATAAGGTTTGAAGACCACAAATATTACATAAATGTGACCATGAAAAAGACAAAATTACGTTGTTTTCATGACCCCTGTGGTGGCAAAGCTTGCTTAATATCAGAAAAGGACTCAGGATGACACTGGTTTTGTCTGGATCGTGAGCCAATAAAAACAGCGAGTGCTTTGGTTAAAACATGTTAACGGCTTGCTAAAGGCTGTGTTCATCATCTGTTGTAGCTGTAGTTATTTTAACCTCATAAAACAATGGAATGATTCCAATGAGATTATTGCCTCTTCCATTCCACTGTGAGCTTTTCTTATTTACACATTAGAATTTATGAATATCTATATAACATGGATCTACCATTTAAACCGGAATCTCATCTTAATGTTTTTCAACTTGTCTCCCTGCATCGGTTTAGACTATTGCACAACACATAAGGATTAGATCAAATCTGATTCAGTCAAGCCTGGTGGTTTTGTGTTTCTCTTTCCAGGGTGGGAGCCTTTTTTGGATGCTCAAGATTCTTCGTAGTAAATCTGGATATAATCTAAACTTGACTTGGGGTTACATTTTCTTTAGTCTATCCTTTCACAGAAAAACATTCCCATGCTAGAAGAAGGATTTCTTCCTTAGGTTATGCAGTTACCACATGTATTCATGATGATATTGTTGACTCAGTAGTGCACATATCAGAGGCAAAGGATACTAGTGAACAGAATAGCCATTTAATGGAGTTTAATTTCAACATCTTACCTGCATGTTTTCTCTGAGGTCGGTGGCCTCCCTCAGTGGCAGCAGGGCTGTTTTGAAGACATCATCCACAGCCTTGATCACTAGCACTCTCATGCTGGCATACTCTCTACTTCTCTTGCCCTTTCGTACAGACAGTCCCCTTTTGTGTGGTTTGCCGCCTCCTCTTCGATTGGTTATGGCCACATGAACAAACAACAAGGTATGTGGCAGAACTTCCCCTGTCAGAGATTGTAGCGGTACATGGCGAAATCCTGGTTGGAGACACTCAAAGGGGATTGTATATTGGCCGATAAATTCATCACCAATATAGTCGTCATCTAGCACCACAAAGCGCACCATTGCGAGCTCGGGGAGATTTATCTGGAACTCAAAGCTCTCATCAAACAGAGGGTTGTCCCCATTCTGGTTGACAGTTTTAGTCCTTTGTTCAGCGCAGTCAGCAGGAATGCCGTGTATTTCCACATACACATAGGGGTCTACTACGTCTCCTTTGGCACCTGAGCCTTTGGGTTTTGGGAAGTTCTGTCCACTGATGATCTTGATGTGTAAGAGCTGTGGGGAAACACCAGGCACTGAATCTTTCGTGTTGGCACTAAAATATGAAACCTGCTCCCTCATGATCGCTGGACGCAGCACATAGCCGCAGTTCCCATTCTGACGGAACCAGCCAATGTTTAGGTCCATCATCAGACCAGGGGTCTGGTAGTTCATTGCCACAATCTGGCAACCACACTTCCAGAAATCTTGTGGATTCATGTTGCTGGAGTCAATCCGCATAGGGCTAGGATAAACCCGTGCTAGGAACTTCTTGTTGTAGTTAACAAAGTCACCTGGGAAGTCGCTGGCGCAGCGACTGGCAAAGACCTCATTGAAAGAGCACAGCTCCCATTGCTTCTGGCTCTGGAAAGATGTTGGGAAGTCTTTGAACTCCACGGACTTACACAAGGTCACCAGATCAGAGAGGTCCTTCGACAGTTGGAATTTCTTGGGTGCGAAAGTCTGTTGTTCCGCAGACTCAATGCTCATCCTTTGAGACATCTCTGCCCCCTCGTCCTCATCCGTCACCTCACCTTCTGAAGCCGTGCAGTTCGTGCTCAGTTTCTTACCCTTCAGTAGGATCTTTCCCTTCAATTCAAATGGAGAGGGGAGGTAGCAGTCCTCTGGTTTTGGAGGATCTAGTTGGATCTTGTCTCCAAGGATCTTCTTTAGGTGCTGAAACATGACTCTCTGCTGCTTTAAGGAACAATGATTTTCTAAACACAGGATCAGTGGAAACTCGGACGCAACAAAGGCATACTTGTTGATGACGTCAATGACACTGCGAAAAACAATCTGAGATGTCATCGTGTGACCAGTGTAAATAACAGGTTCATTATCAGGCCCATCCCACACATCCAGCTCTACACTACGGCAACCCATCTTGAGGGCACGGATGTACCCTGTCACATCAGAGGGACCTCGAAACTGATCTTCTATCAGATATGTGTTGTGGGATGCATTGATGTAATAGTGGGACAAGGGCTGGTTCATGTCTTGGCATGTTGTTTTTTGTTCAGGGTCAAATATATGGCACTCTGGAGACATAAGATAGTTGGTGAACCCATCAAGAGAAAGCCAGCCCTTGAGCTGGCCCTCCTTAGACGGTTCATATTTCTGAATGACCTCTAAGCTGGTGTCTTCACTGACTTGTGCCATACCCTGCTCTGCCTCCAGAAATATCATCAAGTCCTTGGTATCCAGAAATTCTTTGTTACTGGAGAACTGAACAAACAGAAAATAAATTTCTGGTCTGGTGCAAAGATCATGAAAGACCTCAATGAACTCCTCTTTTGTCACATCAGAACCTGTTTTGTCCTTAGCTTTGTGAAGCTCCTTGAACTTTAGTTCTATTTTCACATTTTTAAGTCCTGGGTTCAACTTTTTGACTAGCTGCACAGCAGCACATATTGTTATTTGTTTGTTGTTATTACTGTCTGCCTCATCAAACAGTTCACCTAGCCACGATGAGCGCATGTTGTTCTGACTGCTCTCTATCATATTTAAGGTATGTTTCCCATAGGAGATCAGGTACCTCAGCCCTGTAACCCATATGTTGGCTACATCTGCAGTGTTTGCCACCAAGTCCAGGGACTCATAGTTCTCCCCAAAGATGATTGAGAAAGCACAGTCCTCTGATATCTGATCATAGGTTCCATTAGTTCTAAAAGTGTCCGTATTTTTCCCTGTCCGAACCTCCTTGATGGATTTTACATCAATTTTGGCCTTTTCTGATTCCTTCTTTGAGGGCTCCCATCTCAATGACTGCATGTCAGCATCAAGGAGAAAGTAGCGGTGGTAGATGCGTGAATTGGATCGCACTTTCTTCAGCTCAGATCCATCCACCATTGCACTGATGCAGTCGCTTGCACTGCTGATTTTCTTCTCAGTGGGCATGCTGCTGAATGATACAGTCTTCTTTCTTTCTTTACGCTGTCTTGAGCCATCCTGCAGTGGATCAGAAAATAAGGCATAATTAAAAATTGTTCAAAAGATATCAAGTAATAAAGTCATACGATTTGTAAGACACTTCAAACAATAAAAATAATAATAAAAAGTGAAAACCTTGAAACCCAGTTTAAATGTTTTTAACTTAAAAGGAATATAATGCATTGTTCAGCTAAATGTGGTTCAGCTGTATAAGGGGCTTGGTTTTCTTGCTTCTTGAAAAGTTACCAGTCAGAAGATAGAAGGATTTTGCCCAACAGTGCTTTGCTTCTCATCATTAGTTATCAGTATATGTACATTTACTCAACTTTTATATTTCAGTGCAATTTTGAGGTATTTGTACTTTACTTGAATTTATTTTATACTTTCTACTTACTATACTTATACTTACTACTCTATTACAATTATTTCACAGCTATAGTTACTACTTACTTTTCAGATTTAGATTTTATAATAAAAAAGATGACCAGTTTATGAAATATGCATTGTTATTGATTTAAGTACCCAACAGTATATATACTATATATATCTATCGATCCATTATCCATTCTCCTTTCCAGGGTCAAGAGACGGGGTATACCCTAGACAGATTACAAGTTCATGACAGAGCTGACACACAGTCGAACAATCATTCACGCTCACGCTAACCACTGCACCACCCTCAACAGTATATACTGTTGTTAAAATTACTTGATTTTTCACTGACTTTCACTTGTAATGAAGTATTTTATTGCCGTGGTACTGAAGAGATCAATGCTTCTTCCAGCACTTCCTATAATAACCCTGTGATTACTTTACATTCATACCAGTCAATGTGTTGCTTGTAATTAGGGTGAAAAAGGACAGTTTTGTTTTAATGCAGTTTGCTTTTAACCCAACTTAATCAGACCATCATTCCATTAACTAATCTCCATCTCCAGTTTTATTGCCACAAGAATTATATTTTCTTAACCAAGGAATAAAATCAGAGTTCAGCAAAAGACAAATTTAACTTTAAAAATACTGCCTTCAAGTTTTCAACATAAAGAGTTCAAGTAAACATCTACCTTATAGAACAATACAAAAGAACACCTGTCATGTCCTTCCTTCCTGGTCCCTTTTTGTTCCCTCTGAACATTTGCAGAACAGAATCACAGCAGCAACTTTGTTGGGTGACTTAAGGTAGCTGTCACTGTATATTATGAAGATACAACAGGAAATCTCCCTCAAGAGTGTATCGCCCACACAAATCCAGTCATCTTTAGCAGCCACATTCCTGACATTTCCAGCGAACCCTGCTCTTTCTGCTGCAGCAGGTTCCTTTTAGCACAAGGACATCATTTTATATTTTGGATTATTCAATCTCATTTCACAAATTTACCACCAGCCAAAACCCAAACCCTTGTTAATCACCTTGTGGCAGCTTAATGGTACCACTTTATACAAAAGGAATGCATCATTTTGTCATCTGTGCCAATATTGTTGCCAATGATGTGTGCCAAGTTAAGAATTTCTTAAGCTGCACTCCAGTAGAAACCGTTGATCTTAATTTTCCTTTGGGTTCAACGAAATGCTCAAATCCTTCACAGCCTCTTATGTAATCAAACTGAGATGTGCATACCACACATACCGAATGAACCAGTACTCATAAACATCACAGTCTTAATTTAATAATAGGAATGATGGGTTGTGTGAATGATTTGCATGTGTCTATATCTACACGTATAAATGCATATAGGATATATGTACACACATATAGGATATATGTACACACACCTTCTCTCTGACTGACATTTAAAACTACGTACATTTACAGCACACATTCAGCTGACAATATTCACAATAACAAATTGGACTACACAAAGTATAAGTTTGTCATAAGGTGAAAGTGTAGTGTATTATAATTACTTGTTTTTGACTCGTCTGTCTGCTTACTGTTTCCCTATGGTCTAACCACACTACCATGGCTGAGCAGTTGTTGTTAGAGTTACACAGGGATTAGCTGTGCTACATCATGTATATATTTGTTTGCAATTGGACAGGATGCAGCAAAAGCAATGGACACTGACTCACAGTGCAGCATGATGCTGACAGCACAGTCAAAGTCAAATGTTCATTTGTTACACAATTAAGACATCACAGTAGATGACATACAATTTTATATATATATATATATATATATATATATATATATATATATATATATATGTTAGTGCTGTCAGTTAACGGCGTCATTTTTTTTTATCGCAAGATTAACGTCCTTTTTGGCCTAGCACACTTTGTAGTTTTTTTTCACATGCTGTTGCAACTACTAGTAACTAGGGTGGCCATTCGTCCGGCTTTAGGCCGGACAGTTTGGCCTTTAAATGCCCTGTCCGGCTTTTGAGAAAATAACAAAAAAGGTCCGCCTTGTTAGTTTAATACTTATTGGCTAAAATGTGTGTCAAAATAAGTAATTTCATTGGATACATTTTCGTGTCCTGACCTATCAACACATGGCAAATTTTAATATTCAAATGAGCCATGTGTTGATTCACCACAACACAGCTCAACCCAGTTGCTACCACCAGGCTGTCAATCAAGCTCTCAGCGACAGAGAACATAACGTGAGCTAACGTCGGTTGTTGGACTGAAATTCTGAAAATGCTCATAATCATATGTATAGGCAAAGCCTATACATAAGAAACAGAAGGTGCTGAATTTTTTTTACCCTTTATCTATCCAGATAAAAACATTAAGAACAGTTTCTGTATGATGTTTATGAGACCTATGTAATCTGAATTGGAAGGGCACGTTGTCATGAGCTGTATCTTGTATATTTATTATTAGCTATGTGGTATGTATGCACCTTTATGTAATCTGGTGGAAAAACATTCAAATTTAAAACCGGATCATACCAAACAAATATCTGCTTGCGTGTCCCCGTGTATGCAAAGTGTCCTCCTTTTTTTGATGTGAAGGAAATGGCCACCCTACTAGTAATGTTAGAAAAACTACAACACCACACCGGATCTGGCTAGACCGGAAACAAAACAGGCATGCCGCACACACTTGTTTAAGAGCAGTAGACGTTACGTTTTGAGTGGATGGCGAGCACAAGACGCCAATAATGTTCTGAATGGAAAGTTTACTTTTAAAAAGTTGCCAAATGGTTCCATTGACAAGACCAAAGTGATCTGTGCGTTTTGTCGTTGTGAACTGACCCATCATCGCAGCACGTCCAGTCTGAAATACCACTTGATGGCCAAGCACACAGCTGATGCGAATTCTCCGCCCCCTCGTCAAAGCCAGGTGACAATGGATGAGTTCAGACAGAAGCACATGGATACCACAACTAAGAATAAACTTACTGCAGCCAACGCTAAATGGGTGGCTACTGCATGTAGGCCTGTTAACGTTGTGGAAGGCGAGGGTCTAGTATTTTTTTCACCCTTTTATTGATGGACAGTGTTACATTGTGTGAGAGATTATTTGCTCAAAGTGAGAATGTTAGTGTGAAATTGAACAGTATAGTACAGTATATGCCAATGTAAAGCAAGCCGATCCACTTTTCCATGTTGATAAGACCATTAAAATGAGAAAAAAATAATGGGACAAAAAGAAATCAAGGGACATTTAGAACAGATAAAAATGTGCGATTAATTGCGAGTTAACTATGACATTAATGCGATTAATCGCGATTAAATATTCTAATCGTTTGACAGCACTAATATATATATAAAAAAAGAGGAGGATAGACAGAAGAGGATGGAAGCTAAGTGAAATAATAAACATCTTATCAAACCGATCCAGGGAAGTCTGTCAGTGGGCAATTGTGAAATTACAGAAGGCCAAATAATATTATATAATGATTTTTTCTAAATGAATTAATCATGATAAATCCCATCTGTGTGTTGGAGTACTGCATAACACAGGATGTCACATTTATTCTGACTGGTGGAATCTTACACCTCTGCATGTCAAGTGAAATGTAAACATTATAATCACATTCTTCCACACAGTCTGCTGGTTAAGGAGAGGTCATTATAAAAAAAGGGGAGCTTAAAACCTAAATGCATGACTGCCGATAATCCTTACGATCAAGGCAAGAATGTGGACTTCATGTTAACCTTGACTTACGGACACATCTTACTTAAATGTTTCTGTTTCCTGCTGTATTGCAAGGGCCACCATGCCAGGCATTCCCCTTAGGATTTCCCTCTGCTTCCTACCAAAACTAAAAAACAATGCTGCACACACCCATCTCTGTCTCAGCATGTGTTATTATTTCCTGAGGAGACAAGTTTCTTAAGCAACAGTCCCTTTTGTGGCTCTGGTAGAAGTCAGATGGCCCAGGGTGTTTTCTTCTACAACAAGTTGAGTTTCATTAGTCCTTAAATGGTACTTTAAAAGATGAGCTTAATATCACCATATTGTCTATTTATAGTTTATCAGATAATTGCTTTATGTGGTACACGTTCTTCTAGACACATATCACATATCATCGCTTGTAATCTTGGTTTATTGAATTTCATCTTTCATCTTCAAAGGGAATTAAATTCAAGATTTGCCAGGTCAAAGCACAGCTCCAAAACAAGCTTTAAAATGGGAATACCTGAAATAGCCAAGTAAAGTCAGCAACACATCCTCAACTAAGATCTTGACCTTTCCTGCAAAGATCAAGGCTCCTGTGTTGTAGCAAAAATAGGACTGATTGCTTTTAGGGATTTATGAACCTTTACTGGTGATTATCAAGTCACCTGTATTTTATTTGGGAGTCTATCCAAATTCCACAGGGCAGAATTTTTGTTATTTCTGTGTGAGCTGGAAAGAACATTTCATAAGCCAGAAATTACAGCACCAGTAACTACATGCTGAGTCACTGGTATTGATCAACAACCTTATCCAATCCCCTCTTGATGTGTACTCATCAATGTGTGTTAATCAGTACTGTCACTAAAGAGAACACTGCGTTTCCAGTGGCAAACATCCACAATACACACTGCAACAATGCTGTTGATCATCACTTCTTTAAAGCCTGT